CAAAGGAGCAAGACAGTTAGTGGTACAGCTGGCATTGGAAACGACATCCATGCTTGATTTGTATGTCTTCTCATTAACTCCCACCACAAACATAGGTGCATCAGCAGATGGAGCTGAGATCACAACCTTCTTTGCACCACCCTAAAAACAAACCAAGCAAAGTGAACAGATGTGTTGAGAGAAACAAAGGAGAACTTGTTGCAGGCTCGCCTTGCCTACAGGGGAACCAGAAAAATAAATGATGACCTTCTTGTGCACTGATGCTTTCTCCACTGTGGTGAAGATACCAGAGGACTCAACAACAAAATCCGCTCCAAAATCACCCCAAGGAATATCCGCCGGGTCCCTGTAGTGTAGAGAGTTTAGGGTGGGTATTAAAAATGACAACAATACGATATCTGATGAGATCCCAGCTGTACCTCTTGTTGATAACTTTGATAGGCTTCCCGTTGATTTCTAGAGTAGAACCATCCAATACCCTGATGGTTCCCTTGAAAACACCATGGGTGGAATCATACTTGAACATGTATGCCTAAAAAAGAGCAAAACATTATGAGTAGATGCATTTAAATTCTCAATAGTTCTTTTTGCTCCCGTATCAAATATAAATGAATTCTCTAGAGCATTCTTACCATGTAATTGGCATCAATGAACGGGTCATTGACAGAAACCACATCAATGTCATCCCTTGATGTTGCTATTCGCAAAATTAACCTTCCAATCCTCCCAAACCCTGCATGAATGTTAAAGTTATTTACATTATACTCTGTATAATAAGAGTAACATCTGGTGGCAGATAATCAAGCAGAAATAGCATACCATTGATCCCAACCCTCGTCTTCTCGGCATTTTGGGGTTCTGAGGAAAGATAACAAACATATCAATTAGCAACATATATCTCATTGCACCTTGTTATTTAATTCATCTATAAGACCAAAGTAAAGCTTTCATACTTGGGATTGCTGGAGGCAGTTCTGTGGCAGTAGCTTTAGCAGGTTGAATGCCATGGGAACCATTCCTTCTATAGGAATTAAATACCAAGTCAATCATGTATATAGAATATACTAGTCACTTGTAACTGATAAACAATAGAGTGAGAGTGAGAGGGTAGTACAGATGCAATGAAGATGCTCGAAGATTCAGATGAGCTGAGCCAGAGATGCTTGATTCAAACTTGATAGAATTGGAGCCTTGATTGAAGCCAGCAAAAGACGCCTATTTAAGAAGTTGTTGCGATTCCATTAGCCAAGAGAAAATGAAAAAGTAGAGTGAAAGCACGAAGCTGATCCAACCATCAGTAGAGATGCTCGTGGAAGAAGAAAATGAGAGCAGGAAAACAATTAACTAAGCTGATAAGCGAGAAGTGCTGGAACAAAAGAGTTAGATCGAAAAAAATGAGAAGAAGAGGGAAAAAATGACCTGGGATCGATGGGAAGCTGAAGAGGGATGGAGAGCAGGGGAGACAGCCGCAGATCTGAGGAGGGAAGAAGATCCCATTTCTTTCAGTTTCCCGGAGACGAGTATTAAATCCGACGCCAAATAGACCGGACGGGAAGATGTAGAAGAAAGTAAAACCCTAGCGGAGATATAAGCAGATAAGGTTTAACGTCAATGGCTTCCGCTAGATAGAGGGCAGGGTGGGTTGTCCCCTGTTCGCTTTAAAATGCGTGATCTGACCGCTTCTTCGGAGATTCTTAAGCATAAAAGAATATAACTCCATACCCTCCTACCCCCTTCCGTCTAAAAAAAATTTTAAAATTTCATTTCCTTTTGTGTAATACGTAGTATTATATTCTTTTTGAGACAGATTAACAAAAATTATGATAATATTTGAATAGTGAAATGCAATTTAATTATAATATTACATTCTTTTTTAGACAGATAGTGTAATAATTATAATGTCACAATATAATTAAATCACACTTCTGTGATTCCAAAATACATATGTGAAATATGGATTTCCTCACACTTTTTATGGACTGACATGAGATTTTTTTAAAAATAAAAGTCCAATACTTACATTAAATTTTTATAATAAGATATATTTGTATAAAATAGCGATAAACCCAAAGATCATGTAAGAGTTTGGCTCATAGTACGAAGAGAACTTGGTTGAACTTTGGTCGACAACATATCACTCGATTCAATGGAGAAACTTCACCAGCTATAATTAACTACCCCGGAGTAATACTCTGTAGATGGTAGAATATTAATTTCAACGTCTTTAAAGCAATTTCTAAGAGCGATAATGTGGAATTTTTTTATAATGTAACGATTTTTTTGAATATAGCAAGCATGAGACGACATCTCGATAGACTATGCTATGAGTATATTATGATTTTTTCCTTGAAGACTTTGCACCTTTCTTTAATACCCATTTAATATATTCTGAATAACTTAAAAATCAGTGCTCCCTACAAAAAAAATTTAGTATCAATAAATTTATAATGTAAATTTATTCTTTTGAATATCAATATCTCAGAGTAAATATCAAATTTATATAAATATCTCAGAGTAAATATTAAATTTATTTAACTAATACTTTATTGTCTAAGAATGTTTTTCTTCGTGTATACTCCCTTTCTTATGTTATTTTTGTCTATTTTTTATTGAAATTTGGTTAGGGATGAATTTGGCCTTCAATTATATAAAGTTGAATTGAAAATAAATTAAATAAATAAATTACGGAGTATAATTGAGAAATCCTTTATTGGATGAAAGAGTGTTTTTGAACGAAAAAAGAAGTCACGCAGATGGAAGGGATTGTGGCCGTCCAAACCCGCCCACTTGGCACAGAGTGTAGGGTCCGTTTCAGATGGAAGCGGGCCGGGCGTGGCCCAATCAAATAGTCCGTACGTGTTAGGTGGCTTCAATCATTCACGTGCACCGCCGGTAGATGAACGTGACTTCCTCTGTCTGCTACTCCTCGGCATCTCCAAATCTTTTGGAAATGTCGGCTCCCGATGCGGCTCCAATGACTCTTTGTACGGCTGTACATTACATTCAGGGGCAATGCTAGGGTACACCAATATGGGGTACCCCAAGTGTACACTAAGCCAACACAGACACACACAGACACAAAATGTCTATGCAACACAGACACTTTGTGTCTGTGTTGGCTTGGTGTACACTTGGGGTACCCCATGTTGGTGTACCCCTAGCTTAATTCTACATTTAGCATGAGTTTAATTTATACGGAGTAATCTCACTTACTCCTCGTCTTTTGTTCCCTCTCATTTTTACACACCATCCAATACACTTCTTTAATCTATTTTATCTTGTAATTTGTATATTAAAAAATTATAGAAATTATATATTAATAATCTATATGTTAAGACAAATCAAACAAGATCACACATGACTATATTTAGCCTTACACATTGAGAGAATTTGATAAGTCAAAGTGCTTAGATGAACAGTTTCAAAAGTCAAAAGTGGACGAATATAGCGGGACGGACGTAGTATAACCTAAATATGTGGAAAGAAAAAAGAAGGAATAAAATTTGTATCTAAATGAGTACAGAGTATAAAAATAAAAATAAATTTACTTATTTATCCTAAACTGATATAAATTGGACTAGTATAAATCTGAACCAGTATAATCTCCAACCGGCATAAATTCGAATCAATATAACCCGAATTGATTTGTATTTAAAAGTGTTATCTAACCAAATCGAAATAAACCGAACCGATCCGAATCAATTAGTATAATATACTCCCTCCGTCCATATCTTTATTCGCGTTGCATAAAACATTTAAAAACTTCACATTTTTTCAAGTGAAATTTGCACTAAATAATACTAAAACATATGTCATTTCACAATGTACTCCCTCCGTCCCCCATAGATCTTCTCAATAGCCCTTTTTTATTTGTGAAATTTGCACTAAATAGGACTAAAACATAATGACTTTCCTAATGTAGGACTTAAACTTTTTTATTCCCTAAATAGGACTCAATAATGACCTTGGGAGGAATAATGTACAATAATGATGGAATTTGCTTGAATAATGACTACTTCATAATGACCAAAGTCCCTACATTGAGAAATAAAAACATATGGTCTTATATTGGGAAAGTCATTATGTTTTAGTCCTATTTAGATAAATGACTCTTTTTAATTTTTAAATACTACTCCCTCCGTCCGGAAATATTCTTCCCATTTTCCTTTTTGGTCCGTCCGGAAATATTCTTCCCATTTTCTTTTTTAGTATACTTTTTAAGGCTAAATATCAATAATATCATTCTATTATATCACAAATCTACTTTTTTAATAATAAAAGGAGATTTAAACGTTTATAATATATGCATTTTTGAAAAATTTGCATTTTTTTACTATTCCTTAATAAGCGTGCCAAGTCAACACGGGAAGAACATTTCCGGACGGAGGGAGTATTTGAACAGTGTCTAGTAGCGGGAAAATGTCCAGTTATGGCGGCCATTTAGTTTGAACAATGTCCAGTGGACAATGACTAGTGGTACTATATTGGGTAATGAAAAACATGTGGTACTCCCTCCGCTCCCCAGTTTTTGTCCACTTTTGACTTTTGGAACTATTCATATAAGAACTTTGTCTCATCAAATTTTCTCAATGTGTAAGCCTAAATATAGTCATGTGTGATCTTATTTGATTTGTTTTAATATATAGATTTTTAATATATAATTTCTATAATTTTTTAATATACAAATTACAAGATAAAATGGATTAAAGAAGTGCATTGGATGGTGTGTAAAAATGAAAGTGGACAAATACTCTGGGACGGAGGGAGTATTACATTGGGAAAGTCATTATGTTTTAGTACTATTTAGGTAAATTTCTCCTTTTTCAATCTATTTTATCTAGATATTGATATAGAAATAAAAAAAATAAAATTTATATACTTCAAATTTAAGTCAAAAACTCAACAAAACAAGCAAAAGTTCAATATAACAAATGAGTACAAGAATATTTTATTTTATTATATAATTTATAAAAATACAAATAAATAAAAATGTACTGAACAATGCATTGGAAAGAAAGATTGGAGACGTCCCAAAAAACACGGACCAAATTCGAACGGAAAGGGAACCAGGACTGCCGGGTTAATTATAAACGGACGAAGCGAAGGCATCGAGGCGCGGCTAAATTCATAATATGCCCATGCGCCTCTTCATCGTCAAGGAGATGAGGTTTTCCTCTTCATATTTGATCATCTTCTACGACGATTATCATCCCGCATATTTTAAGCATCGCCGCGGAGAAATCGTGTGAAATAGGTATTTCTTCCAGCATTCAATTTTTCTGTTTTTGTAATCCACCAAAAGAGACCTACCTTTGTCCTGCCTACATTTCCGATTTCTGAACACATTGCTCAATTGTTATAGGAATGGTTAACGGATTATTTGATTTATGTGATGTGGTGATTTGTGATCTGCAGGGATGGGATCTGCGTGCTTTACTTTCTGGGATGATTGCGTGGATCCCCGGCAATTGGAAGCCATGTGGAGGGATCCCGATGTGGCTGCGGAATGGGTTAGCGCTGGTGAGACAAAAGGATCAAAAGTTCACCTGTCCCGAGACCACGAGGGTCAGCCTTACTTGACCCAAACCGAAATGAAGGTAAATATTTTTCTGCCTACCTTCATTGCTGCATCTTGTCCACTGCCCATAGCCCCGCCCCACACATGAACTGTAAGGCTGTAACTCTTTCCTAATCCTAAATGACTAGTCTCTGATGATGCAAAACACGAAAGCATGTTTATCTGTTGTTTACTTGATTTGTTCCGATAAGACAGCGTAATGGCAGCAATTGGCAACATCTTTTTTTTTTTTACTTCATCCCCTGACTTGTTGTTCTTGGCCGATTAAGGATGGCTGTCATCATATGGAAACTTGTTTGTGGGTGTCTTCTTGACAACATGATTATTGTTGTGTTTTTTATTTACTTATTTGTTTAATAATCTGTTTTGGGATTGTCTACACAGGCAGTGTCGAGTATCATTGTTGGAAGACATTTTGTTTCACAGATAGACTCGGTACGGTTGAGTTTTAATTTTGCATCTAGAGTAGATTTTACTCGTACTTTTTAGGCATCACTCGGATCAGGGAAAGAGGCGTTCACCTTTCTTCAAATTGCTAGAAATAATTCTCATCCATCCATGTTTTATTTAGTATGGAAGCTGTCATGCACATATACTCTCTTAGTTTGGTATTGTTCCCCATATTTTGCAGGATATGCTATGTGCAATTGCTGAACTTGAAAGCGATAGGATGCCACTTGCTACACAATACAACAAGAAAACAAAGGAAGTCAGCATGGGACTCATGCAAATCTCCCTGAAAACTGCCGAGTGGATAGCCAGGTCGGGGATATAATAAGGGGCTCTCTCTCTCTGTGTGTGTGTGTGTGTGTGTGTGTGTGTGTTGTGAGATGCAAAAGCCTTCACAAATCACAAAGTTGTCTTCATACGGAGTAGTTTTTTGTCAGCAATGCTTAATGTAACTATCTGCAGTGAATTGGGGTTCCGGGCATATGATGTGGCAGGGAACTCAAAGCTGTTATACTATCCTTTTGTTAATGTGTATCATGGTGCAGCATATCTGAAGTGGCTGTCAAATTATGAGCAAAAGTAAGTTACAAAAAAATCAACTAACTGCATCACACATGCATCTTGCTGCTTATAGTTCATTTATTATTATTGCATATCCTTTTATGCATCTTCATGCCTGCAATGCTGCTAGAGTATTATCATTTTAAAATTGCATTCTATATGCTGAACAGAGAAAGAAGTGAAGAGTTCATTGTGAGGGCATACAAGGGTGGTGTTAAGAAGGCAGCTCACAAGTCAACTTAAGTGTATTGGAAGCGTTACCTTTCTGTCAAGGAAAACCTTCCATCCAGGCAATTTCTTCCACTACGTGCATTTTCCTTGCATTTCGATTCTATTTGTCGTACAAATCACCTGCAAATGGTATCATTCTGATTTTCATTGATATCTGCAGAAATCCGACTGCAAAGCAATACACCTTGTAAAGCTTGTGAGACAATGGCATTTTTTAATTACTTTTTATGATATTTGCTTTGATTTTATACATTGCATGAGTCTATAGTTTTCTAATTTTGAAAATCAATTAACACTAGATTGATAGGAACCTTTGGAGAACTAGGATTAGAGTAGCTGGATAGAAGCTCGGTGTTGTAGAGGTTGTTTTGTAGTGTGTTGTATTTGTTGGGAATCTTTTGCTATTGTTTGTACTTGTTGCTTGTACTTGGTGCCTTATCTGTGCTATACTGTGTTCTCTTCCATATTTTTGTGCAGGTGGAGCCGGGGGTCTCTTGGAAACAGCCTCCCTACTTCCGAGTAGGGGCAAGGTCTGCGTACACACACCCTCCCGAGACCCTACTGTTGTGGGATTCAACTGGGTTGTTGTTGTTGTAATTAACACTAGAAATTTCATGACACCAACCCAACTTAGACACATAGTTGGGAGTAAGGTGATGATGAGTTTATATTGTATATACATGTGACTAGTATAAGATACAAGTCCAACTCTACTATATTGCAACTTCTTTCAAGCTATTTCCTTGTGTTTCTACCAAATCCAACAAATTACTTTAAGTGAATATATACAATACATGTTCATTACTTTATTAGCATCTGGAGACTTTGAGGTTGGATGTTATACTAAAAGTTTAAGAAATAATATTTTCAGTGCTCCTTTTTCCTTCAGGAATTTCTTTGAACTTCGTCCCTTGCCTTATGCTCCTTCAACGTCTGCTGCTGCTGCTGAATCAGAAAAAATAGGTAGGCAATAAATATTGTTCATTCAGATTACTTGGAATCTGCTGCCTTATTTGTGGGTGTCTGTTGCACTTCTACAAATCCTCATTTGCAGTTTGAAATTTTTGAATGCTTGGCATCTACTAAATAAGCAGTGGACATAAAGTATTACACTTGATATAACCCGTGTCCCAAAATTAATATTCTCTTTGACATTCATGATGCCCAAGAAAATGATTTGGCCACTGATGCCTAAAAATATGTGTAAAATCATAAACAAATATATTAACATATGATAATAAAAAACCCTCTCCGTCCCATAATTATCTTCCCACTTTCTTTTTTGGGTTGTCCTAAAATGTTTTCGTCTTTGCTTTATGGAAAAAATTGTGCGGTTCATTTCATTTTTCTTTCCTCTACACAAGCCACAAGCACACACATTCCAACAACAACCCAATAGATCCCACAATAGTAGGGTATGGGGAGGATGTGTGCATGTAGACCTTACCCCTACTTGAAAGTAGAGAAGTTATTTTCTAAGAGACCCCCAACTTAAGCAACACAAAGAGCACACAACATGACAAAGAAGCAAAGAGCAAACTAAGGGTAAGGTGAGCGCAAGAAGACAACCACACATGTTCCACTTTATTAAAAATAATGTCAAGTCAAAGTGAGAAGAAAATTATGTGACGAAATGAGTAACATTCTAAAGTGAATCTAATAATATTAAGTTCACATAGGTCAATAATTTTCAATACAAATTATGTTCAGATTTTATTAACTTTTACTGCAAAACTCAAGATGATACCATAAATTTGGAAGGGTGGAGTGTTTGTTCCAAAGTTTTGAGCTGTTGGACTTTGTATTTGTGTCCAACTGTACTAGAGATAACACATCTTGCTCACTCTTCTGTTCTACTGAGCATCATATATAGATTATCTTCCGAAATGGTTTTCATTTAGTACATGTATCATGCAATACAGATTTATTCTTTTAAATTTGGCAGGGCGATAACCTGGTCATAAAATGTACTCAGTAATACCTTGTATTTCTTCATACTTGAGAAGAGAATAGAAATTGCTTCTCACTTTGATAGACCTGCTGGATCAGGGCTTGTCAATATAACTTGGGATTCGCAAACTTCGGCACACGACATGGAAGAGATGTGGAGCCATCCAAGTGTGAGCAAAGAATGGAGCAAGTCAGGGGAGAAGCGTGGAAATGTCCGATTTTCTCATGACAAAGAGAAGAGACCTTATCTTTCAAGGGTTGAGCTCAGGGTAAAGACAGATGTTCTCATATACACCTGCATTCATGACGCACATGCCAGCCAGCACTTGAGAGCTGAGACTTATCATATATTCACTCAATCATACAACTTATACATAATGCTGCTCTAACAACCCTTTTGGCAGGCAGTGGCAGAAATCATCATCAACAAGTACTTCAGTGCTAGAGGAATTAAGCCGGTAAGCAAAGCACAAGAATATTCCATCTGTCCATATCTCCCTTTTTTATCATAACCCACAGATAACTACTCTCAAACTGTGTCGTTGCAGGCTGTGTTGTGTGGAATAGCAGAGATAGTGTGTAGGCGGTATGTGAATGGAGTGGGGCAACGGGTTGGGGTGATGGGGATAGACTACCCCACCGCAGGGTGGCTGCAAAAGGAGTTGGGGTACAAGGCCTACAGGGTGGAGTCGGTGGAGGAGCTGAGGAGGCCATTTGAGTCACTGTACTTTGGGGCAGCCTACCTGGCATGGCTATCCCATTATGAAGGAAGGGAAAGGAGTCCCCAGTTTGTTGTTCAAGCTTATCTCTCGGGGCCTCAGAACGCCGCAAATGTCCCAGAGGAGGAGACAGGTCCCAATTGGTTAAAATTCCTGGAGGCACTGAGCCATTATTGTGAGGGTGATGATGATTTCAAAAAGGAGTTGGGTTTTTGCACCATTTTATGACCCCTCATTGGACTCTACCTCCAACTTGAATCCTCAAAAAAATACAGTAGTAAATTATACTACCTCTGGCTCGGAGTATTTGTTCTGTTTTGATTTTTTTCAGTGAACCGTTTTCAACATTTGACTTATAATTAAGTTATATTAATTAGATCAAATAATATTTTGAAAATATTTTATATAACAAATCTAATAAAATATCTTTGTATCAATATCTAATATCATTTTTATTTATTTTTGAGTCAAAATTTACCAATTTTGACCGAAAAATGTTAAAAGTGGACAAGTACTCCGAGACGGAAGGTGTAAAAAATTACCGCTGACCATGTTTTTTTTTCAAATAACAAATTACGGAGTAAAAAAGATTTACTGTATATAAGAAAGGTATGGCGTTGCATTGTGGGTGTATGGAAATTAGTCTGGGGATGGATATTTTTTGAATGTGAGTGGTCATATTGCGAGATATGGACCATGCTACATTTACACCAAAAATTGTATCTCATTTGTACACCGCAGTTATACACAAACATTTTGATGGTTTACACCAACACAAATGTTGGTGCGTTAACAAAAATTTACACGGACACAAAGTGTTGGTGCGTTAACAAAAATTAGTTTTACATCAACACAAAATGTTAGTGCGAACCTACGGGTACAAAGTGGGATAGAAAAGGGTGAGGTAAAAGTATATTTGTCCTAAAATAATGTGTTACTTCGCACTTCATTCGTAAAATGGGTTGTACACCTTTAGAATATCAATCTAATTTGACTTTTTTAGTTAATAGATAAACTTTGATCATCATGGAAACAAAAACAAGTCCCATACGTATTCATTTTTTTTACTCCGTATTAAATACTCCGTACCAAGTATAAGTACTATTTTGTAAAATATCAAATTTGGATAGAAACCGCTATAAATAGGATTAAAACATAAAAAAAGTAGTGAAATAAGAGTTTCATGCTTTTATTTTCAAAATAGGATTTTGCAATGTGATAATATAGTTGTAATGTGGTACTGTACATCTGTACATGTACACATTACTATACTTTTTGGTAATGTAGATGATCATGTTTGGTAATGTAAATGCATTTGAACTCTTATTTCAGAAATAAAAAATGGAAGTCATATTTTGGTATATTTTCAATAATTTACTCATATTTTAGTCTTTTTCTCAAATTCGTATGTATATTTGAATAATTTTTTGTTGGCTTACAGTGCTTGAAAATCTTCAAAAATGATACTCCACAATATGTAAAAACACAATGCCGTATGAGCTTCATTATAAAATCAAAATATGGAATGTGATGAACAAGAGATCTGGAAATATAAATATAAATGCTAAAATTTATTTTAAACTTCAAAATCTCTTGCTCACCATGTTCCACAAAATAACTCTAGATGAGGCCAACAAGCTCTACCCACCACATGCTTTTGCTCGCAATTTAACAAGAAAAGAAATGGTGTTAGGGCGATGTGGGAGAGTGTGCACTAGTTGATGCACCAAACAATAACTCAAACATTTCTACTCCATACTAGATTTAATATACTCTGTAACTATCCCTTTAAATGTTAGACCTAATTAAATTTGTAAAATGGACAAAAAACGATATATTAATATTATCATTCTAAAAATGATATATTATAATTATTATTACACTTATTATATTCATAACTATAGTTTATAAATTATTTCATTTTTTCATCTCATTATTTTTATGATACACACTCATCACATTATGTGATATGTCTGATATTTAAAACAAAATCTTGTAATATATAAAGTATAATTACAAATATATTATTTTATGATAAATACTGCATAAATAAAGTGACGTGCAGCGTAGCCACAATAATTTTTAAATATTTAACATTTTGATATTTATGATAATTTTATATTCTAATTATTTCTTTTGCAAAAGTAGTTACGAAGTATCTTGTATGAAAAATAACAATTTTTTTTCTTAAAGGCATTCATTAAGATAACATGATGATGACAACAACAACAGCAATAATTATAATGATAATAATAATAATAATAATTTATAATAACAAAAGTTAGAATGAGAATAATATAAAAACACCCAAAAAAAGTTTCTTTCAATTTCTTTCAGTTCTTCCAGTTTCTTCCAACATCCATCTCTTTTTTTCCCAGTTCTAAAGAACAGGCTTTTAACTAGTTTTCAATATCTCTCAAATTAAGATTTAAATTTCTTTATCACGTATGATGAGACATATAGAAAAGTTATATTTAATATGTTTAGATATTATAAAACTTTCATATAAAAGGCCAAAACCATTATTGCCAAACTCTATTGTGAATTACTAATTGAATGTTTTCATTGATCATTTGGTAAATAATTTTTTATGTCATCTCTTGTTATTTAGAACTTTTGATATATTTTTAAATGGTTTAATTTATAAGGAGTACTTTTTATTTCTATACCAATTTATAATTTATATGGTTAAAAACTTAAAATGCATAATAAGTCACGTATTCTTTCATTTTTTATTTCATTTTTTTAAATCAAGTGTCAAATTTATAGACATGTTAGGACAATTTTGGTGGGTTTATTTAACGTGGTTAGAAAAAAAAAAAAAGTTACACTCCACAAAAAAAATGGTTATGGTATGTGTGCTTCATTTTAAAATTGAATCATGGAACATGATGAATAAGAGTATTGAAATTTAATTATAAACACTAAAATTTATTTTAAATTTTAAGGCTACTTATTCATCATGTCCACAAAATAATTGTGTATGAGACCAATGGGCTCCACACGACCACGCTTCTATCTGCTGGCAATTTAATAAGAAAAAAATGTTGTTGGGGCGATGTGGGAGATAGACTACAAAACATTTTTGGTCTTCATTATGCTTAAATAATTAATTAGACATTGTTAGAATTTAGAAAAAAAATATAATGTAAGAATAACCCTATGACCAATGAGCATGATGAGGCAAGAAACTTAGCTCACTTATAGCATGAAAATTATTTAGCTCACTTAGCATGAAAATTATTTATCCAAAGTCAAAATCAACTTATGGGGTGTAATTGACGGGGGTAGGAATGTGTTCGAGTCGGGTCGGGGTGGGGGAGGATTTACCGGAGAGGTTAGGGAGGATAGGAACCGTCAATTTTACGAACGAGGCACTGGAGCGCCCCCGAATCATCCCATGACATTGGGTCAATCCAATGTTTGACCCAATGTCATGGGAATCCCACCCAATTAATAATTTAAAAACATAAACTAGCCAAGCATCACTAATACTAATGATAAAAAATGGGCGGGTCTTCGGACTTGGACGGATAATTGGATCCATGGCCAGTTGTCCCCACTTATGAGTCAAAGTAGTGTATAGTTTTGACTTGATGAACCAGGCGTCATTTCCCATTTTGCTCGTCTTCTTCAAGCTCTCGACCAGCAGCGGAGGACAGCTCGCACGAAAACTCGCTTCATTCTTTTCCACGCCCGGCTCGCTCTCTTCTGGTATGATTTTTGTTTCAATTTTTCTTGGGAATTAAGATCGAATTCGTTTCTCTTTTGGAATCCGCCAATTTCCATTATTCCTTCATATGTCGAATCGATTGAATCATGTGAACAATCGTACTTGGATACGGGTCAGAGTAATTGATTTGCTCTAGAGAATATACTAGCGGCCAGAGCTACCATAGCGAGGCAGTCAGGGTAGAAAACCTACTGAAACCATCTTCCACTCTAATCTAGACTGAGAAGTTTAATGCCCTAAATTAACATGATCTCTTTTTGTGCTGTCTCCTTGTTTTTGTTCTAGTGCCTGATTTGGTTAAATATTTTAGACTGAAAAACATGCTTCCTCCGTCCCGATTAAGTTGGGTTTCTTGCTTGAGATGTCGTGATTAATTGAAAAAGTATCTTATTTAGCTTAGAAATTCCATGGAATAGTATCTACAAGAGGATATAGGCTTGGATTACGGCACTACTAAATGGATGGAGAGGGAAAGGGAGGAAAAAAGGTATAGTTTTGTGGAATACTTGAAATAAATCACCCATCACCCAATCCTTAAATTTGAGGGATTTAGCGAGACGGAAAACTAAATCCGGAAGGAGGGAATGATAAATTGTTTCTCTTTATGTACTATCTCCTCTTTACGTTTTTTGGCTCGTGCTTGATTTGGTTAAGTTTTTTCATAGCTTTGTATATGGTAGTGACTATCTTTAACGGTTTCTACCAGCTTATCTGTTCCCATCATTGCTGAACTGAAACTGCATTTTGTGCTTGGGCACCTCTCTGTGGAGTTCTGACGCTATTCACTCTCCTTGATGATTGCTAATTGTGAATCGTCCACTTCTGCCTCTACCGTGTTCATAGATTTTGAAATGACATATTTTCACCTCTCTGCACGTGTCAGTAAACCAGTGCTGGAGCAAAGTGAGTATTCCATTGCATTCTGCAACCCTTTGTATCAATAGGTGAGTTGTGGTGGCATCAACATTTTCCACTTTGAGGGAAGTGCAACCTAATTTTTTGATTAGATTAGATGGATCAATCAAAAAATCAAAACTACTTGCATTATAATACGACTAGAGAAAATGTCAATGTGGAAGTAGTTCCTGAACCTCAGGGTGTTAGGAGGAACATACTAGAACATGACACTCCTGATTTGAACCATCCAAAGTCTAAGCCTGTGCTTAATTACTCAATACAGACAGGTGAAGAGTTCTCCCTTGAGTTCATGCTTGACAGATTTAATACCAGAAAATCCCATGTTGTTCCAAATACTTATGTGGATCCAAGTCATACACCTGGTCACCTGGAGCTGAAAGGTATTTTAGGAACTGGATCTGAAAGAGGTTCAGATATTCACATGTTCACCGCAATGGAAGGTCTAAGATATACAGAAGAAAGAAACTCTTCATTATGTGAATTGAAAAGTCACAATGGCTCTATGCTACCTGTACATCAAACTTATGCAGAGAACAATGGCTTTCATTCTGGAGCCTCTGATAGTTCAGTGGTACATCTTAAGATTCTTTTCAGCTTTGGTGGAAAAATATTACCTCGGCCGAGTGATGGAAAGCTCAGGTATGTGGGAGGGGAAACACGCATTATCCGCATAAGGAAGGACATAACGTGGCATGAGTTATGGAAGAAAGCTATATCAATTTATGACCTTACTCATGTTATAAAGTACCAGCTTCCAGGAGAGGATCTTGATGCTTTAGTTTCTGTGTCATGTGATGAGGATTTGCAGAACATGATGGAAGAATGTTATATTTTAGATGATAGAGAAGGAACTAAGAAGCTTAGGATGTTTCTCTTTTCTTTGATTGACTTGGAGGACTCTCATTTTAGTCTAACTAATTCTCATGCTGAATGTGAGATTCAGTATTTTGT